CCCTCCCTCCCTCATTGCAGCAGACAGTTGCCTGCTGCAGTTTATACCTTACAACAGGCACACCTGTGGCATTACAGGGCCCTACCTGCTCTGCTTTATGGTTTCAGGTGTACCTGGCTGGGATTTGGGTGAGTTGTCAAAGCTGTCATGTGACAGGGAGAAGCCTGGGCACACCATCCTTAATCCACCAAAGGTTTGCTCCTGTGTGATTGCTGTGCAGTGAAGGGATCTCAGGTTTTTCTTCTGGGGAATAAATTCTAGGCTCAGAATTTAGAAGGAATGATCTAGAAGCTCTTTTTGAAGCTAAAAGCAGTCAGCCCAGTGGTAAGACATGCACTGATGGAACCCACCGCTTTTTGTTGTGTTACTGAGGCTGTTCCACAGACACAAAAAGCACTGTCCTACTCTAGGACCAGCGCACACCCTGTCTCGAGACAACAGAAAGGCTCCAGAGGGGAAGAGAGGTGGTTTCCTAAGGAGAGAGAGGCATCTTTAAGTGTCTAATGATCAGGGTAGGCTGGGACAGTCCTGAAATTCAAACCGCTGCCCGACCCTCCCAAATAAAGCCATCAAGATGCTATTTTATCTTGGAGCTTAAAAATAGCACACGGTACAAAGCAGTTGTTATGGATCTGCCTTTCACCAGGACACGGGATTTCCCCTTAGCAGCTCTGGCCCTGGAAAGGTACCGAGGCTTGGGAGGCTGGGACAGGGGTGGGCAGAAGGTGCAGCTTAACCCTGCCTGGATGGGGTGTGCCCCCTCCCACACCTCATGCCAAGGGTGTTTCCTCTCCCTCCAGTGACCAGACACGAGACACACCTATTTTTGTTTTAATTTAGTCACCATGCTTTGATTTTCTTATCTGGCAGGCCAGCGTGTCCCACATTTTCATGATTTAGTAGCTCTGCAGCTCCCTCTGGGCAGATGGGTGACACAGAGCCCTTGGGGACATGCAGGAGCCTTGCTGTCAACAGACAGGGGATGATGTCCCTCCCTCCCTGCTCCCAAAATACTCTGTAATGGTTTGTCGGTGAGGAACGAGGCTGGATGTTCCTCCTGCGGGGCTGCTGTCACCACACCAACCCTATGTCCCCTCACGCTCGTCTCAGGGAGTTTCAGCCATGGGAAATGGTTTCACTGAGGGCAAACTGAGGTTACAGTGATGGTGGATGAGGGAACAGTGACCGGTGTCACCCACCTGGACTTGTGCAAGATGTTCAGCTCAGGAGATCCTTGTCTCCGGACTGGAGAGCCGGGGATGTCGTGGATGGAGCTCTCGGTGGATAAGGAAGGGGCTGGATGGTCACACTCAGACTTGTGGTCACTGGCTCGGTGTCCAAGTGCTGAGCAGTGATGAGAGGGATGCTCAGGGGTCAAGGAGTTCCAGCACCTAAAGGGGCTCCAGGAGAGCTGGAGAGGGACTTTGGACAATGGATGGAGGGAGAGGATACAGGGAATGGCTGTAAACTGAAGGAGGGTAGATTTAGAATGTTTGTTAGGGAGAAATTCTTGGCTGTGAGACTGAGGAGGCCCTGGCACAGGTGCCCAGAGTGACTGTGGCTGCTCCTGGATCCCTGGCAGTGCCCAAGGCCAGGCTGGACAAAGCTTGGAGCACCTGGGACAGTGGAACATGTCCTGTCCATGGCAGGGATGATCCTTAAGGTCCATTCCAACCCAAGCCAGTCTGTGATTCCACAGCTGTGCCTGCTGTAAAAACACGTCCTTTCATCCCTCACCATCCTGCTATCTACACTTCATCCCTTTATCCTGTTTTCCTGCTCTCCTCCTGCCCTCCTGCCTGCACAGAGAGCTGCCTTTCTGGGCCAGAAGGGCCACGGAGGATTAAGAGCAGCAGCACGAGTGGTCCCTGCTGTTCGGCCACCTGGAGGGGCGGCTGGGCGCTCCATCTGGCCCTGGGCACTGCTTTATCACCAGACTCCTTCCAGCTCCTTCACAGCCACGAGTTCCGTGCCACACAGGCGTGCACACGCTCGCAGGGTTTCTCTCCCCCTTTAAATATCGTCCTTTGCTGCCTCACCTCAGCTTGCCCAAAGCATGGGATCTCCTTCATCCCCTAAGCCTTGTCCCTTCGGCCGCGTCCCCTCAGACTCTGTCTCCCCTCAGCCCCGTTCCCTCAGCCCCTCTCTTCCCCTCAGTTCCTCTCTCCCTTCTCCCCTCAGCCTCTGCCTCCCCTCAGCTCCTTC